TGCCGAGATGCCACAGTGTACAGGAATGTTGAATGCGATAATGACCATGAGTTGATAATGGCTAAAGTTAGAGGCAAGCTCAGATCACTGATTAACAGCGAAAAATCTACCACAAAATTTGAAGTCGACAAGCCTACATGTCCAGAAGAATCCCGAACTTCAGGTCACAATCGATGTAAGATTCGATGTAAGGTAAAGAAAAGATAAAGAATAAAGACAAAAAATTAAGTAAGATAAAGATAAAGAAAATGTACTATTCTGGAGAAGATCGGCCGAAATAATGAACGATGTGGCTCGAAAAAATGGTATGAAAACCTGCTGCAGGAAACTTTACTGCTACTTCGACAAAACAAGACTTGACAAAAAACCGCGAAAAACGAGGAGGGTAATTTCACCTCCAGTCTTGAACAAGTAGTAGAGATGTTGGAAAAATATTCTGAATTGGTATCTAATTTTTTTGTGATTGTGAAATCAGATTATTACATGATAATTTTCCTGGACAAATAATAAGTGCAGATATTGAACAGTTGACTGCTGAAGAAATGAATTAGGTTTTCAGCTACGCAAGAAAAACGGTAGAACTGAAGGAATGAACAGAATATTACCAGAGCCATTCATGAGTTACTAATGAACGGAGTGCTGGCAGAGTGAATAACTCTGGACTGGTATTTCAGAAAAAGGACATATCGAATGACTGAAGGAAAAGTACTGTGGATCCAGTATTTAATAAAGACTGTTGAGAGTTTCAAAATAACTACGGTGGAATCAGCTCACTATCCGTTTATAAGCATTATTGCCCATAAGATTAGAGAACATCTTGTCAAGATCTTCGGTGAAGATAAGTCTGGATTCAGAACACTCAGGAGATGTTTGGACCAGATATTTACAATGAGAAAGATAAAGGAAAACAAGAAAATGAGGATTTAAATTCTTTGCGATATTCCTGGATTTCCTCAAAACGTCTAACTAGCTCAATCTGCCGGTGTCTTGTGGAAAGGCGGCGAATAGTTTGGAGTCCAACCAAAAATTTTAAGCATAATTAGAAAGCTGTATGATCTTTCGTGAAGTACAGTGCGAACTGATGACAGGTTCGGCAAATTTGTTCGTGCAAAGTTCGGAGTAAGACAAGGTCGGAGGAGCTAAACCTTCTCCGCTGATTACGATGTATCATTACTTGGTGCCCCAGCCAATATGAAGGAGTAAAGCTATGGCGGCAAAAAATTGACAAAATCTGTAGACGATAACGTAGTTCCAGCATACAGCTTCAAAGCTACAACATCACTGCTCTTAATTCTGAAACAGGTGTTCCGATCTGGGTGTCTCGATTAACTTAATGAAGACGAAGTGGACGCAAAGTGTTAAAACCCAGACCAAAGACTGCCTGACTGTTAACAACAAAATTCGAACCAGAACATCCGGCTCTTGACTTTTGGGTACAAATGGACAAATGAAGTTAAGAAACGCTGTACGTTGGCATTAGCAGCGTGTAATAAATTATTCAAACTCAGGAATAACAAACACGTAAGCGGTAGAACAAAGCTGCGAATATACAGGGTTCACATTCTGAACGTAACTCCGCCGTTGCCGGTCTCAAATCCGGTTGAGAAATGAGGAAGGTCAGAGACCAAGGCGAAGTCTCCGTAAAAGTTCGCCATCTGCAACTCATGGTATTGACATCATCGAAAATTATACCGGCTCGGTCGTCGCCCGGGTTACCAAGGGCAGCGCAGGCTCTTGACGGAATGAGGCAGACTGCGAAAAGTTGGCGATCAGAACCTGTTCATTGCCCTATGCCAGCCGGGGGCGTGGCAGCACAACTACGGCTGACGAAGACCGACGCAACGACGACGAAGATAGATACCAGTCAGCAACGGAGTCGCTACCCGTTCTGAACGGAGGAGGCAGACAGCGGGATGCTATTACAGCACGTCAGAAAAGCCTCCACGAAACCGACACCACCAGTGGGAGCTTAAAATCGGAAACTGGAACATATTCTCACTCAGAGGAAAAGAACATGAATTAGTTGATGAGGCCACGAAGTACTAACTCGACATTGTTGGACTCTCGTCAACAAAATGCCAAGGCTCCGGACTCCTGAACTTCAACGGATGGAAGCTATTCAACTCAGGCGTCGATATCACGACTCGCACTCAGGCCGGTGTCGGTGTTCTGGTAGAACCCAATCTCGCGGACAGAATCATTCACTGAAAGCCTGTCAACGGAAGAATGGTAATCCTCCGAATGAAGCTAAAATAGGCTAAAGCGTTGACATTAGTACAGGTCCATGCGCACAATTTGGACGGAGAATATGATACTTTCCTTGAGGAAATGCGGTGTGCTCTGTTCGAAGTGAAGAATACAGAGTCCCTCATACTCATGGGCGATTTTAATGCGCATGTCGGAGTAGACGTTGAAAAGTGGAATGGCGTGATCAGGAAAACAAAAGCAATGGCCAGGAATCACATTCAAACGCAGTACAGTTGAAGTCAATATGGTGGACACCAACCAACTGCTGTAGACAACCATATCGTCGCAAACAGCCATCCTTCATCTTCCTCATCTTCATCTTCCATCGCCGCTTCTCCTTCCGGGTAGCGAAGGCAGACGTGTCAGACAGAGCTTCCAATGTTCCCGATCCTGTGCGAGAGTCTGAGCTTCGGCAAAAGACAACTGGAGTCTGGAACAGACTCCTTCCATATATTTACACGAGAATAATCTTGGCCGTCCCCTGAGCCTTTCGCCGGTCGGTTTCGAAAGAAAAAGTTGCTTGGCCTTCCTTTCCGAAGGCATTAGCAATACATGCCCAAACCATCGCAACTGTGACTTCTCAATCTGGAGAAGCAAAGGCTGTATACCAAGTATCTCACGGATGTCAGTATTCCGGACCATGTAGAGACGCGTAAGGCTAGCGACTCGTCTAAGAAAGCCCATTTCAGCAGCTTGCACCCCGGTTCAAAGTTTTTCAGTGATGGTCCACGATTCACGATTCATGACCGTAGATAAGCATGGGGATAAAGATCGACTTCAACACCGAGATCTTAGTTTGCAGACTGAGCTTTGCTTCAGTCACAACTGGTCGGGCTAGTTCGTGCAGAACGCCGCTGGCTACACCAATTCGACGGTCGATCTCTTCCTCCAACTTTCCATCACTAGTAAATACAATTCCAAGAGAACTTCTCCATCTGCTCCACTGCTTCTACGTTGATCTGAATAGAGCAAAGGTCCGGAAAACGAGAAAGCACTACGTCTTTCTTCTAAGATGTGTCCACACGCACGCCGGTCACGTCGCACTCGATTGCGAACCTTTCTAGGGAGGACTGAAGATCAGTTTCAGAAGATGCTAATAAAATAAAGTCGTCTGCAAACATTAACCTTCTCGTCTTCACATCTCCAATGCCGATACCCTCATCGCCTTGGCAGCTCCTGACTATTCTATCCATGTACAACACAAACAGCATAGGGGACAGGACGCAGCCTTGGCATAGACCAGTGCGAATGTTGAATGGTTTCGACTTAACGCCGTTAACTGTGACGCGGCACCTGCTATCAGAATACAGTGATTGGATGGCCCTTAGCAGCTGGCCATCAATCCCGTATGCATAAAGACATGCCCATAGACTGTTGCATGGGATCCGGTCATA